GATCATTTGTCTTGCAAATATTACAAGGACACAATCAGGCGCCGGTCACGCGTCATCAACATCGGCGGTAATTACCATTGAATGGTGCTTCATGTACGTGAATACAGGAGGCAGCTGTACTAACAATGTTACAGTTACCTTGCCTCAGACCTCCGGACACCGTAGCAACATTATGCAACACAACAATGAATTGACCTCTACACTTATAATTAAGAAACTCTAACGAATATGTATACAAAATTTAATTTTATAATGCAAAGTTCTCACGCAAAACTGCAAGCTGTTTAAAGTCAGTACGACCTTGAAATAAACTTTTATGACGAGCATAAATTTTTACTTCGTTAACGTCAAGTATATTTTCAATATTGGGGGTAAAAAAAATATTTCCGTACTGAGATAATGTTTCAAGTCGACCTTAAGAACAAGATCATCAACGCAGTTTTATAGGTAATTGTTGTGGCCCATACAAAAGTGGACTGGTTTTATACTATCAAGGTGATCCGCCAGTTGCATTTATCAATTATTGGTTTTATTATCTCCAGACCAACATACTTCCGTAAGTAGGTCAGACAGGTGATCAGACATTCTTCAAACACAAGAAGTGAACAATTCTTTGGTAACGTCCGAAAGAATAATACAAAACCCGTCTTTGTAAGAATTTTAACGCCCATAGCGTGACGTGATTAATTTGTAGATAAACAAATAAATAAGAATATGGATAGATAGATCAGTGGGACGTTGTTATTAAAATAAGTTGTGTACTAAATTCTACATTTCCTTTTTTACAAAAGGCGCGCCTATACTGGTAGCAACTAACACCACCAATGAATAACTACAACGCCACAGGAATTACAAATGCGTTGCCGGCCTTTTAATAGGAGAATGTTCTTTTCGTAAATGTCCCTAATATTTATTAGTCCGGATGAACGCTGGTGTGAGCCGATCCCACAAAACGTAAATGTGAAGATAAAATCTTCTGTTAAATCACACATTGATGGACTGTCACGATTGTGTGATGATTTTGTCACGATGTGCAATGATGAAATTTGGCAATAGGAATTAGTCCTAAAAATTCTTCTGAACACTCCGTTGTCCGTGACGACAAAAACTAAAACATTCATCACCAACACTTTCTTGTTTTATTTCTATTCGAAGAGTAGAAAAATAATAAACATTAATTTCATGGTAAATAATATTGTTGATATAAAACACGTACAATTTTATAACAAATTGCAAATCTGATTCGACTCTCATAGCGCGCGACCGCATCAACTATTCAGTGCCTCACTTCTTAGTAGTCTGCTTTATTGTTGGGCAACAATGCTATCTCCTTCAATCTCGTGATGTATTGCACCTCATTTCACTTACAGTATACAGCAAATTTCTAACTAGCAATATTCACATTGCAAACCTAGCAACTATCAACGTCTAATATTGGGTTTGAACAAATCAAAGGAAATCTATGGGAAAGAAACCGCATAGCCAGACTCCCGCGATTTCCATTATCGGATTAAAACAGTTTTTTGGTTTTCTATAGTGGTTTCGCGGTCTAGTAACTATTTGTCGGATGGAAACACAAGGAAATGTATTGAAAAATTATCTAATACATATTTAAAGAACTCGCCAAAGCGAGGCATTAAGTTAAAGAAACTTTATATCACTCCATGTAATTCAATATATTTGGACTATTGTTTTTTTTTTTTTCAAATATTATATGATTACCGTATCCTTTCCGTAAATTCTCTAAATATAATAAAGTTTAAAGTTTTGGACTATCAAAGAAAGTATGGCTAGTTTATAATATGTAGATGTATATTAGTGATATATTTTCTTTTTTTTTTAAAGGTGTTTATTGTGTCATATTATTTTGTAGTTAACCAATATACCGTTTACTAATGATGCATAGCCGACAAATTTCGATTTCATCGTGAAGGTCGCTCCACGTGCTCGTGACTAACTATGGCATAACTAGATCACCGAGTAGAAATAAACCATTACCTCTAGACCATTGCTGCAGAATCCACTTTGAATTTAAAATGATCGGCAATTGAAACATTGAAGAGTTGGTCAAACTGGAATCGTGACAGTATTATGCAAAATATCACGAGATGATGAAAATAGGAAGCATGCTGTGATCGTAAAATAAAACTGATTTTCATGTCGCAAATGTAAAATTAAAACTAGATTATCGTCGATTAAATATTTGTCAACTGCTTTTTGACTCCTATAGCATATAAAACAGTAATATCAAGCTTGCAATCATAGCACACTTCTTCGTAATAATTGTTATTGTAGTAAAATATATTTTAGCGTCCCTCTCATTAAGTAATTTCTTTAAAGTTAGTTCATTGGCTTTTATAAGTTTTCGTATATGCTAGATATAATATACCTAAAATAATTAACATTGTAATTACGACATGTAATGATGAAAAAAGACTTGAATTATAACAACTTAATATCATGGAATTTTATTAACTTTAGTTGAATATTCGAGATTCCCATTCATGGACTATTCATTAAAGTGAAACAAAACATTATAAGAAAACTGAAGCTTGCCAAGTGCTCTATTATTCTCTTTGTGTTTTATGAGCTATTGCTTTTCTTAAACATAAAAGCCGAAACATTTTATTAGTATTCACGTCATCGACGAAGTTAATCTGGATTCTAATCCCGTACTTACTTCATTCCTGCGGTTTTACAAATATAACTCTTTTGAAGTCCAATTATGTGCGAAACGGACACAAATCCTACCTGATAACGATAATCTATAATCTAGCGTACATTTATTATTCTAACTCAAGATTTCTAGTAGAAAATATAAAACGAGTCGGTTCTTTACCTTTTTTATATTTCAGACTTCATTCAAATTAACATCATAATGTTCGGGACTGCTACGCACTTACAATTTTTATTAGTTAAAATTATATTACTTATAATTTGTAGATACAAAGCAGTAATAGCCACTTTGTAACTATAATTGCTACCACTTTAATCACTGCTTTCAAAAGGGATACTATATAAAGCTTCGTCATGGTCTACTGCATTGTACGCTTTGATTTTTGTTTCCGCTTGATCATTCTATGTAATTTAGGTAACAGCAAATATAAACATTTCTTTCGTTTGATCTACTATTAATTAAATATTATATACAAAACATATACAACAAGTGTTCTTATTACTCATTAAAATGACTTTTTCTAAATTTTTCTAGACATTTTATACATCAAATTTTATAAAAATATACTTTACGCTCACTAAAAATTTAGTCTGGACCGATTTCACAAGAACATAATTTAAAACTGAATTATACAAAACTAATCACTTATAATTAAGCTTAATTTTTCTATTCTTTTTTAAAATGATAGGGTCGGGATTGGTCATGTTTCAGGAGTGTTATAAAACCTGTAACCTTTAGCATGGCATAGCTAATAGTCGTAGGTTGCCCAAAGTCGTGAAGAGAAGTGATTGGTGTCGGTTCTTAACATCACGACACGACGTTCATGTCGCAGTGATTTCGCAACAAACTAAACATTTAGAATTGTTGAACACTCAAACCATATATTAGTGTTGCAAACGTTATAAACCATTTTATAAAAATTCCACGAAACATTGAATTAAGAGAGATGAACGTGTTTCATTAAAATAATTTACTTGATAATATTCTTACAAAATGCAAAATGTGAATCAATTGGCTCATTTTTCATTCTATTTTTTCTAACATTAGTGTTCATTTCGATGGGGGCTCAATATCCAGACAGATTATCATCATCATCTTAAGCCTTTTTAATATAACAACAGATGTATTTTACCTGGAAAATAAAACGGTACGCCGTACTGTCAGGGGAGTGAAAGGAAGATTACCCTTACACTGCTATTAGTAAATGGGTCAAATTTGCCCTCAAAATGTTACATGATTTTTTGTACTTATTAAATTGTCCTTCAAACCGAATTTCAGCCTATGTGGCCTTTCACGACGGAGACTAGCCATATCTGCGGGACAGCATTATAGTGCACGAATGCATGCGCAAGCACAAATGCACTCTCTATTCCATAACTCTCATAGTCCGATAGGTTAAGCCGACACGACCGGAAAGAGATCAGGAGCTGGATCAATTGCTTTATAGACTACAGGCTAGTACGGAGAGTTTCTTAAAAGAAAATCGCAATAACTGACTTTTAGCACAGCCCGGGATTCAAACTGGGACCACGTGACGAACAGTCGTGCTTACGGCTACAAGTCAATTATTGTGAGTGTTGGACTACATTCCCAGTTGTGGTAAGTATGTAATGAAGTTATAGATGATTACTATTGCACTGTCATAACGTAAGGAAAGCTTATTTAAGGAAATAAACAATTTTTTATTTATAATTTGCGCTTGCCTTGAAAAACTCTAAGAACTACCCACGTTGTGATCAGGCGGGAAAACAAATACTGGTAAATTATTCCACTCCATTGCTGAATTTAGATAATATTTACATTTTCCGTTCCGGTGCGTACACATGCAGCTGAGGTTGACATTAGAACAAAACGATCACCTATATCTTGTTGGAAGTCGGATCCAATTTATAATCGGATTGCAGAATCTATTGTTAACTTTTCGCATTAACCCACGCTCATGCACTTGTAAGGGAGTGTAAACAGCCTCTTATGTAGGAACTTGTAAGGGGCTGTTTACACTTGTCCGAGCGTCATCTCTCTCCCGGTACCACAAAATTCCATATTCCCACACCGGTTATCAATCTGAAAATCATTCCCACACGATAAAATGCTCTCTAATTTAATTTTTCAACCTTCTAAAGAGTATGTTAATAGTTTCAACTTCAATCGGATCCAATCCGAAAAGTTAACTATAGGTTCTGCAATCCGATTAAAAGTTGGATCCGACTACAAACTAATATGGACGGGCGTGAATGAAAATAAACTACCCTATATTACATAAGAATGACAATGATAACGATGACAGCTACATATTAGTTAATTATGTTATTTCCATCAACAGTTCAAAGGCCACTGGACATTAAAAACAGACCACGCATTCCCATCCCAGACGAGGATCCATACAGTATTGCCAGTTCAAACGTAAATGGATCAGGCTCTAGTGGAAGTTCCGGAGGATACGGTCTTGGTAACGGACACGGCGTCGTCGCGGCTACTCGAGAACAGCTCATGATGCAAATGGGACAGAGAAGAGGAGATAAACCACCGAAGCTTCCTCCGCGTGAAAACGGCTATGGGCCTGCTGACATCCCTAAGGTAATTATAATATTAAAAAGTATAATATTACAGACATATTAATATATCTTTTAATTTTTTAACGTGAACCTTATTTACTTTGAAACTACAATTTTTAACATTTATTGTTATATTTATTTCCAAGGTAGTCTGAATATCAATTTAAGTGCCAATAATGCGTGTGTCTTACAAAATTCTTCGAAACTGTATATATACAACAAATCAAACGTATTAATTTAGTGTTTTTGTTTCTAATTTAAAAAATACACGATAGTAAAGTTGTTTATTTTTATAGAATAAGAGTTACAAATGAGAATCGTCCACCTATTGGCAAGTATATGCTGTGATCTACTCGTATACCCTACATCTTAACCCGATTAAGATTTAAAATGTAAATGTAATCTCATCCCTGGGACCTGAGATAAAAAAATGCCTCCTTTAGATATATACCCGTTGACCACCAAAAAACAAACCAACAACTAATTAAGGTAAAAATGTTTATAACACAAGTCTTATTTTAGCCTTTCCAAGTAAAAAATTGGGTTTTGAGCAAAATGTTTGTTAGGTTTTTGTTGGTATATTTCTTTTATTCATTATTTGTTGGTATAACTCTTTTATTCATCATTTGTTGGTATAACTCTTTTATTCATTATTTGTTGGTAGAAATCTTTTTTGACTAGGAGTCCATCGGGGTTGGTACCACATTCTTTTCCGTCGCCAGATTGCAGTGCTCGCCCCGCTGTGTTCCGCTCTTATGAGTATTGTTATATCCAATACGCGGCACGAGTAGATATTTTCAAAAATACTATTTCTATTTCACATCGCTTTCTCCATATCACCGTCGTGCGATAGAGAGAGTTTCAAATGTCGGAATCCATTGCCTACATTGTTTTTAAATATTTTTTCGAGCAATAACGTTTTCATCCCCTAACACCTTTACGAAATTAGACAATTTTGAACTCATTAGATTCAGTATATCTTAATTTATGTCTGTACGTTTTTTAAAAGTAATTCAGTTTAGTTTTATTTAAAAAAATATAAATGCTCGAGGAAGTTTTTAAGTCAAAAATATAGATATATACATGCTGCTAACTTATATCGCACGCAATATTTCCTTAAAATAAAAACGTACAGACCTAGTTTTTTATTATATATATAACATTTCCAAAAAATTTGAAAATTAGATTATGTTTACGTAAGGGGATCGTTATCGCTTTTTGTATGAAAATTTATAGCTTCACAATCCTCTTAATGGTATACATATCTTAGTCCCTAGAAGTGGCTATGCATCTGTAATTATCTATGTTTAAAGTTGACTGCTAGCATCCATGGGACTTAAGTTCGTATGTCATGTATATATCCTTAATAATATTTTCGTAAGTGCAACTAAAAGTAAAACTAAACTAAAGTATTTCCATTATGTATATTTCGAAGTATTCTAATCAACGCGTTTAGATTTTATAAGTGGTTTATTTGAGGAAATCAGTGCAATTAGTTTTTATCTTAGTGGTTTATTTAAGAACCGTAGGTCATTAGCCCAGTGACGATAAGACTAATTTATTTTACTTATGATAATCCAAACACAAACATAATGTTAAGAGAATGAACATTATTTCAGTAGCATTGCATTGTTTTTAAATCGATGTTTCTAATTCTAATTGAGAACTTACTTTAAAAAATAATCTAACAATTACCAAAGGTTGTATTGTAGAAGAAAATATATTGACTAATATACTGTTCTTTGCTGTAATACCTTTTTTACCAGGTAGTTGCAAATTACTGGAGCAAGCGCTCTGCAGACGATACATACGTTCATTATTTTTTTTAAAGTAAAGTCAAAATAAAAAGCAGCCAGTGTTTTAGCACTATACCACGGGAGTAGAACTGCTTGATAGTTTTATTTTAGTTTTTTAATGATTTACTCGAAGTCAAAATATTTTTATTCAAAATACGTATTACATAGCAGTTTATAAAAGTTGAAGCGAAGCTTTTTTATCGATGCACAAGCTCCTGCAGTAGGAGACAACTGGTCTCACTTAGTATCTCCTACTAAAAGCGGCAAATAACATCACAAATATACTATTTTTCTTCTAGCTGATGAGATTTAACATGACAAAATATATACTTAAGTAAAATAAAAGAAAGTAGAAAACTCATTATGTGCATGAATTCTTATCTTTTAAGTCAGTCGCTTTAAATTTATAGAAAAGCAAAAATCAATAATATTACCTTGTAATATCTTGTTTTAAATAGTTATATGTCTACACAGAAATGAGCTGCCTAATTTATGAAACCTGTATTTAGTAAAATAGCGTTATTCTATCTATTTCATTTTTTCGTTATCTCAATTAGAATTGTAGAAAAAGAGTACTACCAATAATATTTTCCCAACTAAATGGTAAATTATCAAAAATTAAAAACGCTTGTGCTAAAGTGCTTTACGACTGCACTTGAATAACAAATTCTGTCAAATGAGTGTACGAATTATAAGGCATATTTTAACCTTTCCTAGATGGTGGGACTCTTTTTCTGCCTAAAGGTCCGTTTAGGTAGGAGCAATCCACTTACAGCAGCTGTTTGCTGCGTTTTTCCCATCTGAAGAGTATTGAAAGCCAATATAATTACAGGTTGTGAGGCATACCATATGAGTCTACAGAGGTGACAACGGATCTGTAGCCTTTTTTGTTTAAAGCTGGTTCCATATGTCCTTAACCTACCGTAGCCACTTACCATCAGGAGGACCGTCGTTTTGCTTGCCAATTCAGTTTTATAAAAATAAAAGCCTATTATAATCCTAATAGTGCAGAATTAATAAATAGATAAATCATTCATGCCAGCTAGCAGTTGACGTATCCTTGCAGAGGCCTACGTCTATCTACGTAGATTAAAACATGCCGTTGATGTTGATGACACAATTTATTTTTTATTTGCCTAGTTTTTATGACTAGGTTAATAATAATGAATAATTGACATATATATATATAATATATATTATATGCTCAAACCTGTAAGAAGAGAATCCCTAAAATAATCCCAAGTCCGTCAATGTGCTAATAAAATTAAGAAGGTTTTAATGGAAATCAGTTCTTGACCCCTAAACCGCAAAAATCTCCAAATAAAAGGATGCTGTAAATGCATTATGTCGGAGATAAGGGACCCGAATCACGCATTTCAAATCAGTGTCGCTTGACATGAATAATGGAAGCCATAATCAAATCAGCTCATATTGGTAAGCCAGCGTTGTTTGACATATTATTACTACCGTAAAAACAATGGAGAAGACTTATAGGATATTCGAATGAAAACCTCATGAATTGGATTTAAAAGGAGCAATGAAGAAAAATTTTCTTCATAATGAATATAAATAGAATCAAATTGATAAAAACTACTTTAGAGATGGAACTAAGTTTGAATTTTGGATCTTTATCCGGTTGTAATTGATACCTTAAACTTATTTTTAGTTGTGCTTTTATTACTTAGTTCTTAAAGAAAAATGTCAAGAACGTTACTGTCATATTCAAAGGCTTTTTTCACTCAGCAATATGTCTAGACCGGTCTTAACGCCTATTTGAAATAAAAATATGAATATTTTTGATTACACTTTTTAAACCATAATCAGAATATATTATTTTGACAAAGTATATTACGATGCTAAATAATTTGACGAAAAGCGCAGACAGTAATTTGTCAACTTCTTCTTCGATTGCGGTGAGAGGTCTTTAGTGACGAATAAATCGGCACATTCATTAATGAAACCCAAAAAAAATACAAAACCAGAGCGTTTTACTCATACTTAAGTAAAATTTTATCATACAAGTATTTATGTACACTGTTGTACTTTAGGCTAGTTTTGTTAATTCTTGCAATAATTCTTGCTTATATAAACTCATTATTTTTATATTATACAATTATTACAAAAATTCTGTTTCCTTATCATTCCGTAGCGGACTACTGGAAATAGACCTCTCTTATTACAAGAAATTGCATTTACTTTTCGCAATCTATTCTCAGTGGCTACTCGTACTATGTAGCGTTTCTAAATTCGTGGTTGCGTCATTCACTCACGCTGGCCAATAATTACCATAATGTTTATGTTAGTACACCCAAAAACACGGGATTATTTTATTGGTGGCGGTGTGAGAATATCCAGAAGCACATATCATTCTGTGGATGTCGTAAGAGGCATCTTTTTGATAACAGCTGAAAAAAATACCAACCTCTTTGCCAAAAGTGGCAACCACGACAACTAATATCCATTTTATGAGGCAATCTATGGAGAGGGCTATGTCACCAGTGGAGTTTTGATAGGCTATAAAAGTTATGAGTTTGTTTACTGCGTTGGCAGACGTATTGCTGGTTTAGGTATTTTCCATGTGATAATGACACCTTTTATGATAATATCTAATGGATTACAAACATTTTTTCTTGGATAACATTAACCCTTCAAGCGCTATAAAAACCCTATGCAGTCGCATGCACCCGACAAATCCCGAGCGGTCACATGCGACTGCACCCACCCACAGCACCTAAAACCATTAAAACTTATATTTAGAGACTACTTTTCTATGAAGAAGTTTAGCATTATAAAATCTATACAAAATTCTCTAACTTGTGGTCTAAACGAAAGTAAGGTTTTATTTTATTACAAAAAGATTTTAATGTATTTTGTTTAAAAAAAATATACCAAGCGAATGTCGGCAGCGTGAAAATCGCAATTATTTCAATATATATTACTTGAAATTATTTAAATAAAAAGATAAGTTACATTCGCATAAAAACTTTCATTACAATTTCACAACACTGTAATAAAACACTATACTAAAACACTAGAAAAATACAAAATTCAACACAATAACATTCACGCGAAAATGGCGTATGAAATGAACGTAGATTATAAATAAATGTTCAAAGGATAATAGTTTTTTTATTGCACTAGAGGATAGAGTATTTCATATTGATTACATAATGCCAAATTTCTTCATAGAAAAGTAGTCTCTATATATATAAGTTTTTATGGGTTATAATGCTGTGGGTGGGTGCGACCTCATGAAACCGCTAGGGATTTGACGGAATATGGCCGCGGTTTCATGAGACCGCAAGGGGGTGAGAGGTTAAACACAAAAAAATTAATGATACAAATCATTTTCTACGCCTTAATAAAAATTTTGATTATACCTTTAAGCAACTAAATGAGATCTGAAAAATTACACTGATGTAATACAGAAAACGACGAGGCGTTAATGCAAAAAACTAAAAAGAAGATCCTACTTGTATAATAAACAGAGATTCCGTACATTTTGTGTATATTGACTTAATATTTTGTGCAACATATATAAATCAATACACGAACCATAAAAACATAATTCCACTAGAGTTCGACATGTACGTCAAGAACTGTCGTTTATTTTAACGTGTCGTTTAAACACAATGGTAAAACCCATATCGCCAACGCATCTGTGATTTCATGACCACTGAAGATAGATAGCATTACACGCCCTTTAGGGGTCGCCCTTCATCTTCTTTTATTCTTAATCCAAATAGTACACTCCTTTAAAAGGTTGTAACCGTGACACTACATACATGAATTATGTGGTCCACCTTTTTGTACTCAACTTGTAAAATGCGATGGTTACTGGGAGTTATGTTAAAAATAAAAGTTTTTTAGCTGGGTGGTGCGAATAATTTCTTTCGGAATGATAAGATCTCATCTACAATATGAGCTTTGCATTTACATTAGTTGTAGTTAGGACAATATTTTGCTTGTAGCAAGATTGTGTGCGCCCACGCATTTCTTTACGATACTCCTTTTAATGCTCTTTAATGCTATTCTGTTTTATACTTTTTATAGATAAATGTTGTGGTACTTTTGTATATATTTGAAAGAAGCAGGGCTGACAAACGTGCACAAAGTCTAATTGATGATAAGTGAAGGGATAAGTGAAGGCTGCGTGTCATAGACACCATAAACACTCGATCAAAAATCATTCATTTAGATGCATTGTCACTCCTTAGAATTGAGATAGAATTCTCGTTACGAGTAAAAAGTGTTATCGGTTCTCTACCTTCAACATGCGACACACAGCATTAATAAGCGCCTATTTTATTACTATTGATATTCTGGGAGACCAGTGCTACAGCACAAATGGGTCGGCTCGACCCATAGCAGGTCATATGTATATATATATAAATATATGATGGTGCAATTTATGTTACATTAAGACTAAATCTTCTGGAATTTAAAAGAAATTGAAATTTAAGGTGATTAAGACGGTAAAATTAAATTAAATGATTATTTTTAAAAATATTCTAATTTATTTATTATGTTTAAATCTCCTGCAGCCGGATTATGACGACATTGAAGTGAACGGGCGCGTCCCGTCACAGTTCCCGAGGGGCAAGTCGGACAAAGGAAAGGACAACAAGAAATACGGTGAGTTTATATGATTTGATGTAGTTAATTCATCTATCAATCTGATTTACCATGTAAGGTGGAAGGGATGGTGGAAATTAGCATGACTAAATAATATTAAAAAATCCGATGACGTGTGATATGTATTGGGGGAGCATTTCGGACTCGTCCTAGCTCCGAAAGTTCAGCCCATTTGTGAGACATGTATAAAGCCGCTCATGCCGGGGAAAGTCTTAAAGTACGACCCGAATCGCCCTGGTCGCAAGAAAGGTACCGCTTGTGATTTGACATCTAGCATTCATGGGCTCGATGTGGGTAACACCTTGGATCTGACAAAGGATGAAAAAGGGGTTGAAATTAAATTCAACCCATTTTACATCCCTCATGTAAGTGTTTCCGTTTTCTCTGTTACCCAATAAACCTTAATGTTTACTTATACAATTTTTTTTAAATTATGTGTTGATTGATAGGTACCTTTAGACATTAAGTCCACCCTTTGTATCCTTTTTATAAATGGGAATGCAACAAAGATTTTTAAATTAAAGAAAATAATATTAATAACGTTAATGCTAATGTTCTCCTCGACATTATTACGTCAGTAAAACAATGATGATATTGAGGATCATATTTGAAATTAGACATCTTTTATTTTTAAAAGCACACATGCAACATATAAAGGTTGTTTCTGTATACATAGCTAGCCTTTAAATAAATAAACAAACCCTAGGACTACGACTTAGGTTTCATTTAACATGTCTGCGGCGAGAATTTACGAATGGATAGACTTGTAGTGCGCCCGTTTACGTAGCCTTTTAATTAACAAAAGAAATAATGAACCTTTAAGAAACAAAGCGCGATGGTGGAAATACAAACAATTGTATCGTTAATTACACGAGTCCAATAAATTTTCTTAATCTCCACAATTCGTAATGAATTTAGTTTCGTTTCAAGCAACCATAATATGTTTAACGCATAAATGCAAGTTTAACTTAAAAACGGAAATATTTAATTTTTTCGTCATGATTAAAGTTATTTTATTATTTTTTTGTCATTTTAACTACGAACTTTTTTAAACGAACTTGACACCCCAGTTTTCGAAACAATAGAACAAATAAAAAAAAGCGTTTGTTAACTGTTCGATTCATTTATTTTACCGCTAAAAACAAAATAATTATTTTGCTTAATGGATAAATCTGAATTTTCTAATTTTATTCGGGTCGCTCAACATAAATGCGATAAGTTTACAAAAGGAACTGGATCTTACAAAGCTTTTGTGATTTACCTTATAACTAACAAGCAATCCGCCCGGTTTCGCAAGGGTGATTTTTGGATCTCGAGAACATATGCATGTACTATACACATAAACCATCCTCTTGAATAATTCTGTCCATTGATGAAAACCGTATCAAAATATATTATGTATTTTATGAGATCAAAGTATATAGAAGGTGGGAAGTGACATTGTTTTATAGTGTACTAGCTTGCCAGGTAGACGTTGTTCTGCCCTTTTCGACGACCCTTTGTCATGTCTTATTAATATGCTTGAATTCGCAAAAAAAATTGTGGGTCACTCATGGGTAAAAAACTATCTCTCAAGTTGAACCAAACAGCACACGGTGTGAAAATTTGATTAAAATCGGTTAAGTTGTTTAGGAGTCCATCGCGGACAAACAACGTGACACGTAATTTATATATATTAAGATAGAGAAGCCGTCACATAGTCAAAATATAAATTATCACTAGCTAGTAGTATTTCTTATCCTAGACAGTCCTAGACAACGTGGTCCTTTGTAGGAACCACTCTCTTACTAGCCCGTAAAATTATATTCTACGTGTTACTTAATCGTGTTCCACGGAACTGACACACCTGTGGACTACTAAATATGAATTGGCTGCAGTGATTAATTAATGCTGAAGCCATTATTGACTAAACTGTTACTGTAACTGTGTAATCACTCTTTTATAACTTCAACATTAATAAAAAATAAAGAGTAAAGTTACAGCCTATATACATCCCACAGCTGGACACGAACTCTCATTTCGGATAGGGTTATGAAACAATAATTAGTCTGACTCACTGTTCCAGGGCGTGTCGGCCAACTTTATACGTTTTTTATTTATACGCATGCAAATATAGTTCGATAGAAAAATAATTTTAACTATGATTTACAATTATATTGTCCTTGTGCCAATGTGTGCGTGCAGTCTGCGTATAGAGTTACTAAAATATCAATTTCTGGGTCAAGTTGGTACACTAATGTTCTAATTAATTTGATACATCTTTGAATATAATGTACCTTCATACAAACGGTCTCTTTAGATCTATTACAAAAATACACATAAATAAAAAAGTAGTTTCTGTGCATACTTTTCTTATTCTCGTTACCTTGGCGTACTTCTGTTTATATCCTCATCTTCATCAACCCATTCAAATTCAAATTTAAAAGTTTATTGTTGAACGTGAAGCCGAATTTGTTTTACTTGTAATTACTATACACTAGACAATGGATAGCGTAACGGATCAGTGAGCTGAAGCGACAATAGGCCGGCCATATAGCTCGAAGAACCGACAACCGATTGGGAAGAAATATTCTCGAGTGGCAGTCTGGTACCTGTAAACGAAGTGTAGAGCGTCCTCCATTAGATGGAGTAGCGTCCTGGTTAGAGATGTGGGAAGAAATTAGTCGATGAATATAGGTGACTAAAGATCGTGCTTTGTTTCCTGGGGGGAGACCTATGTTTAGCAGTAAACTTGTTACGAGCTATTATGACGATTCCAATTGCACTTGAAAAGCAATAAGCAACAAGACATCTCAATACCAGACGTCTCGCACACGCGGAAAACCAGAAATAAAGACCGAAAACCCTAAACGTTTTGTGATATCAGGCGATAGGGAGCAGTATCATAGGGAGAGGGAGAAAAAAGAAGAGTCTAATATTTCCATTGCCAATCCGCCAGTCAAACGTGGCAATTAAGTCAAAACTCAGCGAATATATGTATATATATTATTATATGGACAATTGTTAATTACTTTAATATCTTATATTACAAAAACTATAATAATAATGAACTTAACTGAAATAATAATTAAAATTATAATATTTACGATTAAAACTAATTATATACAATATAAAAGAAGAAACTATTATATAGAAAATCTAAAACTAAAAATTTTAATAGTCAAAAAGATCTGCTCCCCGTGGTATAGTGCCCAGAACACTGGCTGCGTTTCCTCGCTGAATAGCTATACTTAGCCTTTGAACGAGGAAAGAACCAGACCTCTTATCACCAGCAGCGACGACCAGTCGTGATACAGTTCCTTTAGAAACTTCACTACACGTGGACCTCACGGACTGATAGTCTCTACAGCAAATGGCACAAATATGTAGTCATTTCTCAAAGACTCATATTTGTGCCATGTACCAAATTCGGCTGCCTCTGGTGCCGCCCCGGCTCTAAAAGAGGCACCCTTGAGATGAGAGGCCGCTAAAGTGTCAACGCAAGTAGCATCCCACACTACGGCTTTACCTCTCTCCCAAGGGACCAAAGTCATACCGTCGGGTCTCTTGCCATCGTCTCTAAATATCCCGCAAGGTTCTAAAACCGAGGGGACATTTATGAAGACAAGAGCCCTTCGGCTGATTTCGTTCAAAGAACCGTGACGGGAAAATCTACCTGCACTTTTCTTGCATGAAAGTCCGTGGAGCCCAAACTCATCGACGCTACTACCACAGGGGCACTGGTGAGGTTGACAATTGCCACTTCTATCCGGATTCCTACGGCGACGCGCAAGCTTTCCCCATGAAGCAATGTGCCGAGATTACTTGATGGTAGAGCATGTAACCAGTGGCTAGATTCCTTAGTCGAAACAGCTAGAAGGCGAGCCTGATCTTGTTGACTGTAGAAATTTTTGACTTTTTTTTATATAGACTATCAATTAGCCTTTACCTGTACATTAATTTAAATTGTTCAAATTCAAATTCTAAATTCAAATTGAAATTGGATCTGTATTAAATTCTTCGCCACTTTTGTGAAATATTTTCTAAAAATCTAAGAACTATTTTATATCTCTATTTCCAATTGATAATTGATATCACAATGGATAATTCACCAAGGCTATCCCCCTTGATATATTCAAGCAACGAATGCCTTTGACATTACATAGGATTTATGCACGAAATTCATTATTTACTATAGTTAAGTTAGTGGTGTGAACACCTATATCTGTGAACGTGCTCATATCAATAATCCAGCACGGTCGAATCATTTATATCAGAACTCGCCACGACCAATAGATTTACCGCGACACTTGTAATATATGAGGTACGTGTATAGACATTTAAAATATGCGATATCGCATGCTGCACCTTTTTAAACTGAAGTTTTAGATTTTTATAGAAGTAAGTTTGACAAACGAACACACATTCCACCTGATAGTAAGTAGATGCTATGACCTATAGACATCTACATCCTCATTTCCATTAAAAAGTTTCTCCAGATCTCTACACTCACCATACGGAACAGCAGCATTAATTTACTATTTCACGCTGGTATACTGCGAGGGCGTGATCCTACCTCGACCGTTTCGTGCTACAACCATAATATAGCTCCAGCAAATACCTGGTTAAAAATGCAAGTACCATTGTGTAAGACATTTAATCCTCAGGGACACAGGACAAGTCCACGAGGCATTTCCATTTTGATTATTAATCGAGAATAGATGTAAATGTCTATAAGCCACTGTATCCATTTAACATCAGGTGGACGGTGTGCTCATTTGTTAACCTTATTCTTTATAAAAAGAAACATTCCAAATATTATATATTATGAAATATAGTGTTTGCAACGTAGTGTTTTATTATTTACACCGCACTGCACCAAATATTTCGCATACTTAAACATGTCAACGTAAGGAAACGTCATGATTTTAATGGTTTAATCTTATTTTAACAAAAATTGTACACAACTTAAGTACTGATAACATGTTGGGTAGAGCAGGAAAAATCGGGAGATAACCTAAATGTCTAAAATATAAAACAAATTTGAAAACGTGTGAAATCTGCTAAACGCATTAGGTCGTCGCAGCGGATCTTTTACCTCTTAAAGTTTCTCAGAAATGAGATTAGTCCGGTCAGCGGGATATATATAGGTTGTTATTTTAATTTAAAAATCCACATCTTTAACTTCGCAACATCGCAGTGGTAACTAACCCACGTATTTGGTTCATTCACGTACGTTCTAATTTGACGACTGCTGCGCTTCGATCGTCAGGCAGCTCTAAGGAGCACAAGTTACGTCGAAACAATACTTAGATATTTTGCAATCAGCCTGACATTTATCCATATCCTTGATATTTGAAACGGCGGCATTTGACGAAGCGTAGGACGTGGGACGTGGATCAAAGTATAAGCAGTTATAAGGTGGTGAGCGCAGTAGGTAAACTGAGAAATCACGACTTCTTTACATTTAAAGTTTCTTTACAAGAAACGTGTTTTATACACTAAACAAGAATAAATATACTTAAAAGATACTCATATGGATAACAAACTCCACATGTAGGGATAGTCAAAACACGACCTAACAACACGGCGACATGTTCAACGTAAAGATGGTCCCGTCTCGTAGTTAACAGGGTTAATAAAACCGTTGCGAGATACTTGTAGTTTTCAACGGTGTATTGGAAAATTTATGAACATTTCTTTTTATAAATTTGTCTAGATCCTGGTATTAGCAAACTTCATATAACCTCGAAATATTTTTTATAGAAGTAAAGAACCAAAAAATACAGTCCACATCCACATGGCAAGTGTATCTATATCTATTGTCAATTAAAAATCAAAATTCAGATGCGTTACTACGAACTAAGATGGAATGCTTCTTTACCTGTAAAAAAAGTCTCCGGTTCTTCATACGATAGTCAGCACCATTCCGCTATTTAATTCATAAATTTTGATCCAACACATTTGTCTGTAGGCTTAATTACAGCTGTAGTATAGCAATGTAGTATAGCTCTACCACATAAAAAAAAATAGTACAGACCGATGTAAAAATTGAACCCAAAAATTTTAACGCAGTTAGAGCATCCGTCAGATTAACGGACGACGCTTTGTCGATCGAGAAATGACAGTTTATCTGTTTGAAAGAGTCGAAACCAAATCTAATTGATGATAGGGAGCATCATTAATAGAGATTTTTTTATAGAATAAGGGTGACAAACGAGCACATAAATGGTAAATGGATACAGTGGACCGTAATCATGTACATTTAACCTCGATTAAGAATTAAAATTCAGATGCGTTGTCACCCCTGAGGGCTAAGATAGAATGCCTCGACTCCAGTAAAACGAGTCTCCGATTCTCTACACTCATCATACGAAACACAGCAGCATTAAGCTGCTATTTTACGCTGGTATTCTGTGAGAACATAGTCCCCTGTCTAAGAAACCCATTCGTGCTACAACCATAATATAGCTGCAGCGTTTTATATAATGCATACCAGTTGTGAACTTTTGAAAAGGCCTTTTAGCAGTTGATTAAAAAAAGTTTAACAACGTAAAAAGATAAACGAAGCGGCATCCCTCCTACTTCTTGTTTTTTCTTCTTCTTCTCCTTTTCCATTAACCCATAAAATCCACTGCTTGAACGAGCCCCTCCCATTGTAGGAAAGATTTTCATTAATTTTCACACGTGGCGGATTGTTGATCGCAATACTAGTACTAGGTGTGTCACACCATTGACGCTACGGCCTGTCACCGGTCTGAGTACTTTTAAATGAGTTGGTTACAGCGCCATCTATCGTATGACATAAGATTGTTCTTAAAATTTCACATAGTCACCTCTTAGCACACCTACGGGTCAAAATGGAACAATGAAATTCATTATTTATATGACTATTTCATGTTTCAGATGACCCGTACTACTGCGGACTCCGCGCACGCGTGCCGAACTTCGTGAAGGCTAACGGGGCTAAGCACGTGCTCCCAACGATGACTGAGCGACTGAGCCTGAAGGAGGCGCCGGTGCCGAGCAAGCGGTACAGCGTCGCACACGCCCACCCGGGCCCCTTCCCCCCGCACATGCCGCCGTTCGCCCATGCTCCTATGCCGGCAGCTGCACTCTGGCACGCTCGCTCCTACGAGAGCGGAATCGGTGCGTACGAGCGTAACCCGAAAAAAGAAAAGCTGATGTTTCAATTCTATCCCGACAGGGACCGAAAGCTGCGCCCGATCGTGATCCAGCAGCCGCGATAGTGTACATAGAGACTAACCCCCGCACTTTAACTCCGCGGACTCTTCGCTACAGTCTTGGTATAAATCTTTCTGTTTTTCGCTTCGCTTGGTAGCACCACCGCCTTTCGCTTCTGGTAAATCGGTCACACTTTTGTTTCTTACCTCACCTTTCCCTTATTCTTCTCTTAGTACTGTTGCGCTCTTTTAGTGAAGGCAAATGTTTTATTGTTCGCTGTGCTCTTTGAATTTTCCGCTGCAGTTTTCAGAACATATTCACTATGGCGGCAAGACACCACCGCTAGACTTCGCCATCGCAAGCTTCGCTGCATCACTAGATAATGTTTGTTATAGTCACAATTGAATTAATAATAATATCGATGAAATGTACGAATAAAATGTTTATGAATTTTAATTAACGCAATAAATAATCGTAATATTATATAATATTTTATGTAGATATTCATAAAAGTTTTAGATATGAAATCGTGATCGTTTTAAAGATTATAATGTAAATACACATTACACGCTAGTTGTTTTCTCACATAAATTATTTCTCACATTAATTAATAATATTTAACTTATCCCAAGATTTCGCTTTTTACCTAACAAAATAGACTGAGACAAAACTCTACACATTTGGATACAATGAAGTATCGAATGTTATCATATACACAAAATTTACCTAGAGTATATTTCAGATGGTGAACACTATGACCCCTACGCTTTGTACGGCCGCCTACCTGTACCCGGACGTGGTTTCCCGCCACCGCCTGCACCGAACGCTCGTCAAATGTTCATAGGAGAATGGGATTAAATCATTTCATGCAACGAATTAGGAATTATATTGTAATACTCTTATTGAATAAAGACCGTCGCATCGATGTTGAAAACTTTTGAAATTTCTCGATACAACTCAACAACTTAATTTGACCACAATATCGATGTGATAGTTGTTGTATCATTGTAAATAATCGCATTGTTGTAAATTATGAAATATTTGTATGTTTTAATTCTAACTCACTTTGCGATTGCGAAGAATTTAATTAGGGTCATAAATTCCAATTAACTTTGGCAACACTGGCAATAATAAAATATAATTACGGATTTTTGTATAAAGTTGGCGTAGAACGTATTTTAATCTAAATATATAAGTTTATTATATATATAAGTTTATGATATATAAATTTCTACAAAATATTTTACCATTTTTATAAGTTTTTAAATATACGGTGAGTAATGTAGTTTGTACGAGATTTATTTAATCACTGCCAATAATATATTCGATATAACAGAATGTCAGCGTGTGCGAGGGTAATTCCGTTCCGTTTGCAAAATACTATAGGTAACCACAACAACACTGATACAATTCCGACCTTAATTAATATCAGTAAAAATATTATTATCTCTAATAACATTATACAATTTAAACTTAGGCATGAACACCCATCCCCTCCACACGCTCGATATTCAGTTTCTACACGTATGATATTTAAGTTAGGTGTCAATCCTAGTCAATACAGGGTTGGGAATGTACGCAATTTTATAGGAAATCGTTAATTGCTTTTCTAATTTTTTAATTACTTATAAAAGCATCACTACTGATTCGATATCAGTAAAAGAATTTTTATACTGGACGAGCAATAGATGAGTGTTATTTCTATTTTAATATTAAAATAAAATTCTAGAATATATTTGTATGTAATCGCTTATTTTTTACTCCCTGTTGTATATAATTCGTTACTTCTAGCTGCTAGCAGCCAAGTAGATTTAAAAATAAAAATGTACGGTTTGCATATCTATAACTATATTATATTGTTTTATTTTTCTAATACTCAATTATTATAATGCCTAGTTATATTTTTGTACAATATGATACCATATTATATTATTGTCATACTCATTTCATTTGTATAATGTTTTTTTAGTTTCAACTTTAAAATGTATAGAAATGTGAATACTAAGCACTTTGGTAAGCCAAAAAGTACCTCGTTATTAAATACAATCTAAAACTTTAATTATTTACGAATATAAACATATATTTACGTGCATACCTTCTTTATTTGTAAAAAACTTAAAGGTTAAAATTTAAAATTAGAATTTAAAAATTACGAAATTTAAAAATGGAAGATGCTAACGGTATTCAAATTTCCATACCTTTTATCTAAGAAAATTGTCCTTCAAAGACTTACGCAGTACACACCTTTGTACGTGTAGATCTTTATAAAACAAAATAATTTTTAAATAAATGTATTTAACGAAAATGTAACGTTGTTGTACATTCAAAATAATATTTTCGGAGGTGCTACACATGTTACCATTTTATTGTAATTTACCTACTATTATAGAAGTGTATATATTACGGCTAGCCGAAGTGCGGACTCACATATGTTAACCCGGCTACAACTAGGTGCTGCCAAACGATTTGTCCGAATAATTTATAAATTATATAAATATTCGCGACTGTCGTGTGGCTCAAAAGCCAACCCTACCGCACCTTAAAATTCTGTCACTGATGTTACTTGAGATATTATGCTTTTATATTTTTGACAATTAATTTTAAAATGTCGTTAAGTCTCGTGGTGTCACATTCACTTTGACTTAAAGTTATAGAGACAGCACGAGACTAAACGGATTATTAAAATAGAGCAACGTTTGAGTATTTGTGCAATAGTCATTATAATTATTATTCAGACTTTACTATTTACTATGGTTTTATGGGCGACTACTTACGTGTCTGAGAACTTCGTCTATCTAAAATATATATCAAATACAAGCAGCCGGTCACACCTTATGTTAACCATCAATAAATCGACACACTTAAGTGTAACCGACCAAAATAAACTGCACTAAGTTTTAGCAGGCTGAACCCGTGTAGCCGCTGTTCTACTTTAAGCCGTGATATATATAAATACTTCCTAAAAGTATATATTTTATTAACTGCATGTAGAGTAAACTCTTATAGTTACGTTTTAAATATATATATATATATATATATATATATATATATATATATATATATATATAACTATAAGAGTAGCCAAATTTTAAACTTAAGTTCATATATATAAATAATGATATAACGCTATTGAAATTTTTGAAAATACGAGTAAGTAAGGCTTCTACTTTTATTTTAAATTATCCCAAATTGAATGTTATTTATAGGCAACAACGTTTTTGCCTACCGATTGACCCATACGAATTGAGTAAAATCATGCATTACATCAACGCATTATTTCAAGTGATTTTAGGTAAAATCACTTGAAATAATACATTGCCACGCATTTTGAATTCAAATGATAAAAAGGACGGAATGATTAAGTTTTTTTTAATTATTTTTCTTCAACATTTGCCTATATTACTTGAATCTGAACCTTCTCTGCAAATAGAGCTGATTATTGCAAAATAACCCTGCATAATATATAAGATCATCAGTTACGAGTATACTCATATGACTGAGAAAAACATAAATGAATAACGAAAAGTTCAGACAACGTAAAATCTGAACTTAATAGTTCAAAAATACAACGACATAAATGTTATACAAAATATGTAAATCGCTTTCGAAAATTTTAAATAGCTCCAGATTCAATATTGTTAAATTACTTAAAATTTTGCGGACTTTTTTAAGAGTAAGTATAAACATTAACATGTTTTCTCTAATTTTTGTCACATCATACATTACAAAATATACAAAAAATGTATATATGTTGACCAATCTAGTTCTAGGCTAGAAAAACATCAACATCCTCTTCATATATCGTAGGGTGTTGGTTAACGAGTAACCTATATTAAGAAAAATGAATAAAGTATGCATTATTTGTAAAAAATTTAGTTTTTTTATTTAACATTAATTAATTAATAATTGTTGCTCAGGACCGTGTTTTGTAACATTACTTGGGGGACGCCTTGTATAATGATGAATGATGAATTATTAATCAAGTTGTCATAATAAACTGATGAACTTAAGGGCTATTAATGTCGTGATAAAACTTGTAATGCGACCTATAAATTTATAATATTTTGAGTGTTCGTAAAATATTCAATTCTCACACAAGTGGAATGGTAAAAATCTCACTATTCCATCATTATCATCATCAACATAACGTCCATCACAAATCCGCTGCTAAATTTAGGCCTCCCCATATATTGCCACAAAGACCCTAAAGACCGCAAAAATCCTGGAACTCATCATGTCCCTTGTCTTTTCAACACTCAGTCGCTCTTCACTGAGAACTAAACTAAAATGATTTTTCGATTCGTTGAGTTACAATATAACATCGGCCTGATGCCACTTCAGCTTACTTTAGATTTAATAAGTTACTCTGATTACTACTACTCCGATTATAGTGAATATTGTCTCACGCGGAGAAAACTCAGTGCTCGTACATCGCTGAAGAAAATGGCTCCTACTTTTCTTCTTTTATTTACCGTAGAAAACGAATATTTTTTTCAAAAAAAAAAACATTACATTTGTTTTATTTTACTCTGGAGGTAAATGCAAATAATTTTTTGGCTTGCGTAAAGTTGTCAGTATTAATTCGAAATTTAATGTAGGTAAAAGACCCATATTAAACTCATTATCAACTAATTTTGATGTAATTGGTGGCAACCGACGAGGTATTTTAAGAACAATAATAAAATCTATAATAACGATTAGAGTAAAAATTCAAAAGTTATGTGAAAAAAAATATTTTTTCGAAAATTTTCGTTATCGATTTCTCTTTAACGCATTAACCGATTTTGAGCAGATTAAATTTTAGAATTAATCGTTACATTTGTTGAAAATTTATTCTATAAATTTGATAAATTAATTGTCCAAATAGGTTAAAACAGTATTGAAAATCTAAGTTTGGTGAAACCCACAAACTAATAAAAAGTACTAGCGCAGTGAAACCCTTTCGAATACATTATATATACGTACAGACATAGTGACATCCTCGTAGGAATAGTCAGAATAGCTTCTTAGGACCTCAGAACGTCGAAATCTGATGAAATCATGATCTTGAACATGTAACAGACCG